AAATTTAAAATAAATAAATGTTGCTGTTTATTTAAAGGTTGGATGGTTTAAAAAGCAGAATTGGTGCACTTTTGTCCTTTTCCTAAACACACGCTCAGGAGTGACTGAAACAAATTTAAATGACTGCCATCAATAGCTATGTATATTCAGAATTGTAGACTCTTAAGATTTGTAAACCGGCCCGGGAGGACCTTGAGTCCAGTCCCATTATTTAAGGCAGTCTAACCTGCACCTCAAGCTTTTCTGATGGGCACATTCACAGTATTTGCATAAAACCTTGCAAGGAAGAACATTTTGGAACCTCCATTGGTAGTTTACTGTTGCAGAATTCTAACCCTAGTTCTAATCTTAAAATTTTGTTTGTGTAACGTGAGGCAGGTGCTTTGTACTCTATACTTGGAAGATATGGGGCATGGTCACTGGGGACTTCGTAACAGGCAAGCCCTATTAAAATACACCTTGCCTGGCCCCTGTTCGTTGCAATGAGATTTCCACCAGGGAACTTCCACATAGATTGTGCCTATAGTTACTCTCTTCCTTCTTTCTCTCACCCTTTTAAATAGCTAAAACCAGCTCATGTGAGCCCCACAACATCGGGGGGGGGGGGCTAAATATAGTCTGTTTCTCTAGATTTTCCAAACAGACCTTTTATTATCCATTCCATTCCTTTATGTAAAAACGACAACACCCAGCAATCTAGTTCACTTTTCTACTACTTCTTTGTCTTTACCAGTAAATTGTAAAACTTGACAAAGTTTTCTCTATGTATTGTCTCTAACTGTGACTCCCTGGAAGTGCAGAAGTTTTGTGTATGCTATTCCTTCTTCCAAACCTTCTTTCTTTCCCTTGCACTAGGGAAAACACATAATAGCTTTAATGAAATTAAGATAATGACAAAACTGCTGAAATTATAGTCTTGCACAATTGCCCTTGCATACATCTGTTTGCATATATATCTATTGATATTTCATTTTAAAAGGTAAGTGATACATCTGAAAAGCCAATTTGCAAACTGGTTTTCCTTTTGTGTGTGTGTTAGATGCAGTATTCCTACAGCGTAAACCCAATGCTCCTCTTCCTAATCATTTAATTTAGAGCAGCCTTGAAAAGTACAAAAATATGGCCTAAGAACAAAATATTCTATTAGAATCGCTCAGGTACTACAAGACCACTTGAGTGGCAGGTATAGTAAGTTATTCTTCCTGGAAGGAACTGTTACACACCAAGGGCAGTTGAATGAGTAGGAAATTGTTACGTTCTTAGAATAAATTATAGATCATATGAACCAATACTCTCAAAATCAGCCATGCTCTGATTGTGACTCCTCACTAATCCCTGAAATTAATTGAATACTTCCTTGACGTTGTCACTTTCAGAGCTATTTGACCCCCCTTTCCTCAATGTATTCTCATTCAATCATCTTGGGTGATTATCAAACACCACATTTTAATTCTACTCCAAGCCTGCAATAGATTAGCCTTTTTGTATTTCAGTCATGGCCTTACAGTCGAGTTCCATACTATTGGAGATCCAGCAGTTTAGGAAATTTGCAAAACAGCATCACTTGCAAAATATCCATATAGCTGTCTCAAGACACTGGGAAAAAAATATAGGCGTATAGGCATATGAATGAAAAGAGTCTAATGTAGCATCAAACACAACTAAGAACCAAAATGTAGTATGGTGAAAAGTGGCAGACACTGTTCTTCTATCACTCTAGTATGTTATCTTGGAACATACTCCTCCAGAGTTAACGCTAAAATGAAAGCTGCCCTCAAGTATCTGATAGGCTTTCATGAGCAAGATGAAGCAGACTCGTTCTCTCTTGCTCCAAAGAGAAATTAGAAATTGAAAGGAATCAGAGCTGGGTTAAATATTAGGAGGAACCTCCTAACAGTAGCAGCTGTTTGACAGTGTCTTTTCTAGAGGCCTGTCAGAAACATTGCAGCTGTACCCTGTATTGTAGATCATGCACTGAGCTGGGGGTTGAGCTAGGTAACTTCCGAAGCTCCTTACCAACTTTAAAATCCTGAAATCTTCCCTGATCAACACAGGTCACATCCACTCCATACGTTTAAAACACATTCATGCCACTTTTGCAGCCATGTCTTCCCCCCACCCAAAATCATGTGAATTGTAGTTTACCATGCACAGAGGCACAATTCCCAGCACCTCTAACAAACCACAGTCAGTTCCGTACAGGAGTTTTGGGAGAAAGCCAAGTGCTTTAAACATATGGTGTGGATATGATCATAATCTACACAGAAGACATGCAGCATTACAGAGATAATTGCCCACATAACTAATTCAAAGATAGAATTCGAGATGGTAGAGAATCCCAGACAGTGAATCAAAGTTATGAGCCCAGAAAAAGGGGAATCCGAGATAGTGGGGTGAAACCCACATCTCATTGTAGTCCATGGAAAATCTCGCTTTTATTTCTGTGAATCATATCCACAGCATGCTCTGACTTGTTCTTATGATCAAACAAATTATTTACACAGCAGACCTTTATATAGGTGGGTTGTGGTACTTTCTGTCTATTTATAAAAAGTTATATTTATTTGGGAGAGCAAAATTGCTAATTTTTTTACCAACTATATATCTAATAAAACTATTTAATAACGAATGTACTGTACTCCTTGTTTAACTCCTATTTACTAATTTGGCTGGCTTCCAAAACTCCTGGGGGGAAAAAAGACTGACTGTTTTTAATAGAATATAATGTATTTAGTTTCTGAGAAACTTGTTAGGTGTTGAAGTGTTTTAACTGATTTCACTCATATTCACAGCAATGCAAAGAGAAAGGAAAATGAACAGATTAGAAAATCCATATGAATATAGAAAGGTAGTTCAAATGCTAATGAATAAGCACCATTTAAAGTTTAAAAAGAATGTTTCTGATTGATAACTTAGTAAATTGTGGGTATTGTAATCCCAAAACTACCTGTTTTAAAATAAAATAAAAAAATACTCTGGGGTGGCATTTTACATGTGTTTCTGTATTAAGAGACAACTGCTGCTTTGTGGTGAATTTCAGGTTAAAGAAAGGAATCAAGCCTGAGACATTTTTGTTGTGTTTTAACTGGCCTAGCATTTAGACTTGTAGTACTGCAGATGAAGTGGGATCTCATTCCTGCAAGCCTGGCAAGGCAAGCTGGCATTATCCTGCTCGTCAGAAAAGCCTTCATCTCACTGCTTTGCTTTCTCAGTCCCAGTGCATCCACAGTTCCTACAGCCCATAGAATCCAACCTTGTTTTAAAACATTGTTTTAATACACTGAGTGCCATTCTATATTGCGCTGCACTGGACTATCTCTCTTCCACACCCAGCTTGACTGCCTTCCTGTTTTTGAAAACCTCTCTATTCAGTGTTTGCTCTCACTCCCGAGAGCTTGTATTTTGTCCCCTGATAGTGCAGCGTGCTCTCTAGCAGGTTCAGTGTTGTTTCATTGTTTCAGATGCTTACTGAAAAACAATATACTGTATACCAATACTGAAAGTTTTGTGGTTTGCAAAGCAATGGAACATAATGGTGAGGAGCATTTTGTTTTGTAGCTCATGCTGCTTTCACACTCCGGCAGCTGACTTTCAGGCTAGATTAACCCCAAGGCTAAATATGCTATTGAACGAGGCTTGGACCCCACAGTGTACAAGTACAGCCATGCAGTGCTCTAAGAGCATGTAAAGTGTGGGCTGGGCCTATATTGCATGCCTTCATTCCATGCCAGTCTCCTTTCAAATTCCACTCTTCTCTGAACATGGCAGCTGTGTGCTTAATCACATGACAAGGGAAGAGTGATATCATGTTCCCCAGTTAAGTACCAAAAGGCTGCAAAGCATGAGAAGCAGGATAATGAGCAGTATGGGACTAACGGGGCACGAAGAGGATGCTTTTAGGGGCTTAATTGTGCCAGAGGCAGGCTCAATATCTGTTTCCAGCACAAGGGCTTAACCCTGGAGAATATGAAGCCCAGTTTCCACTCTCAAACAGGACTCCCATTGCTTCCACATTTGGGGAGAGATCACATGGCAATAGCATACCTCTTACCTAACGTCACAAAGTATTGTGAGACAGTTGAGAGACCACACCTCTCCACTCCACCTGAGTTGCACGAAGGGCAAGTCTTCTGTATGTCCAGTCCTCTGTTCCTTGTAATCCACTGATGAATATACTGCTTAATGCCAAAAAAGGATTCTAAGCGCTTTACAAGTATAAAAACCAGTGGTGTATTATATTGCCTTTTTCTCCTGCAGAAAAACATAGGCTCAGTGAGGATTTTTTTGCCAGTCCATCTGATTTGGCTTTGGTGGCTTTTGCTGTTCTTGATGGCCTTCTTGTATCAATTTGGGGTCAGGGTTTATCGATTTGGGGACTGCCACAATTGGTGCTTTAGCATTGGGCAGCAAATCAGGGTTAGAGATATTAGCAACCCATTTGGGAGTCACCTTAACGACTTTGGGCTACTAGAAATAACTGTATCCCCCTCTGGGTCAAAGGTTAGTTGGGGTCTATTCTGCCTTCCACCATGTGATTTTACCAAGCAGGAAGGTTGGATGCTACATGTTGATGAGGAATTGCAGCACTAGACTTCATGTCCTCTTAATGTGAAACTGTCATAAGTTGGTAAGGGCTTTTTTCACCCAGCTCAGTACATCTGGTTTCTGGTGCCTTTCACTTCATCTCCACTGCAAGGATATGTAAAGAGAAGATAAAAAGCCTTCATCAACAAGGGGCTACAGAGTCCCCCTGCACACCAGGGATTAGAGGGAAGAGTTTACAGATCAAATGCCAGTAGCTGGAAACTGCAGGAGGGGAGAATGCTTGGGTCTTGCATGCAGGCTTCCCAAAAGGACACTGGGCTAGATGGGCCATTGGCCTGATCCAGCAAAGCTCTTCATATATTCTTAGAGGTTGGTATTGCCAGGTAGATTTGATCCTAAATATGTAGCTTTTTGGATCCTTATTATTTATCCCATGTCTGGTTGCTTTGATGTTTGCCCTGACTAATAGCTCAGATGGGAGAGCATGAGACTCTGAATCTCAAGGTTGTGGGTTTGAGCCCCACATTGGGCAAAAGATTCCCACATTGCAGGGGGTTGAACAAGAATAGATAATCCTCGTGGTCCCTTCCAACTCTACAATTCTATGATTCTACTGTGGTCAAAGAGAAAAGAAAAGGTGATGACAAGACCTTGCATTAATGTGCAATGAACATTATATAGTTTAGAAATACATGATGTTGGGGTGGGGGGCAGATCCCATGTTTCATGCCTCATTCCCCGGTAGCACCGTTGGAGGCAGTATGTCTCTGAATACTAAGTGCTGGGATGCACAAGTGCTATAGTGTGTGTATACTGCTTGTGTGCTTCCTACAGACATCTGGCTAGCCATTGTGAGAAGAGCCTACTGGACTTAAATGGGTCTTTTCTCTGATCCAGGAGGGTTCTTCTTAATGTCCTTATAGCATATGTATTTTTTTACTACTTGTTACTTTGTTGCTTACTTTTTTACTGGCATGGAGGGAGGAGAGATGCTTGTGGGATTTTAGCTGATTAATTTATGTTGTCTTTGGAGCCAAAATAACTCGATAGGTCTTCATTACCATGCAGCTTAACCTTTTTGCAACTGGCGGGAGGCAGGGAGCATCTGCTGCTCCACCCCAGGTACCAAAATGCCTTGGGTCATCCCTGTTCAGAGGGCATTCCGAAGCAGAGGATGAGGATTTGTCTCAGAAAGATGGCATCCTAACATCCCCCCACTTTCTGAAGAGCAGGGGCAAATGTTTGAGCCCTGGAGATCTTTTTTGTTTTCCAACCTTATACCCCACCTCATGTTCAAAAGAATCTCAAAGCAGCTTTTACAATACAAGACATAACACCCAAATAAAATGTATAAAACACGCCATGTTTCATTGCAAAAATGAAAACGTGTGGGAATGAGATCTTCTACTCTTCTAAAGCAGCATGGCCTGAACTGGCGCCCTCCATTAAGTTTTGAACTACAACTCCCAGCATTGGGGCTGTTGAGAGCCCAAGACACCAGGTTGGGGAAGACTTTCCTACAAACCTGGCCACATTCCTGAAAAAATGATTTTGTTTAAGAACACACCTGAAACACAGAGAAGAGGATCATCCTGACCATCTCTTTTACACGTGTGTATGAGATGACTCCCTATAGATCTCCAAACCTCCTGCCAAACAGAATCAACCCAGAGCACCCAGGGAGTTATCTCCTTGTTGAGAGATTCCCCCGCCTTTCGTATGTGGGTTTTTTTCATACCCCCCAAATCTTTGTTGCAGTTGGAAGAGGAGGATCTGATCTCTGCACCGTGGAGCGTCTGAGCTACTAACCGGCAGCCAAGCATCAAATCGCTTTGCAGCAGGAGGAAAATGGAGAGGGGCGGCGGGGTAGCACATCAATAAGGTCCGAATGGAGCGTTGGAAAAGTATGAAGTGCTCTTCTCGCTCCCCACCCCCGCACCCCCGTTGGTCGGTCCCAGTTTCCTGCCAGCCGCGTGGCTTGGGCCGCACCAAAAAAAGACTGGAGGGGGGGTGGACGAGGAGAGAGTCTGGGCATCCGGCAGACTGGACGCTCCTGGCCCATCGGCCCTTTGGGCTCCTCACGGGCGATATCCAGGCGCAGGAGGCGGCATGGCGGCAGCCGGCATGAGACGGACGGAAAAGGAAGTCTTCCGGCGTAGCCGCCGTGGGGATCGCAGCCCCGTCCCGACGCGCCTCGTCGCCGCCTGCGCGGTTTTTCTGGCTGGCGAGCGGCGGGAGATGGAGGCGGTGAGCGGGTTGCAGGCGTCGGGCTGTGCGACCTGGTTGGCCCCTTTGAGGATCTCTCTCTTTCCTTCTTTCTGAACCTTCCCTGAGACCTGAGTAGGAAGGCAGAAGAAGGAGGGAGTCCTGACACATACCACCAGCTCCCACTTGGCATGAGAGGACTCAGTCAGCCTCCTTTTTATATAATGTATTTGTTTTAGTGTTTAACTTGCAAGCCACCTTGGGTTTCCTAACAGAAAGGCAGTATATAAACCCAGTCAATAAATACACTTTGAAGCCACAGCTTGACCCTCTTGGCTTTTCAAAACCTTGAGGTCCTTCTCCGTGAAGCCTCGCTCTGCTCCCTACCCCCTTGGCAAGGACAGTGACAGTGGCCCTCTTTTTTTCTCCTCTGGAAAGTACATAAAGCTGAAGAAGCGAAGTTGGAAGACGGACACCATGGCTGTACACACACTTCTGTTTGCCCAGCATCAAGCACACTCCCGCTTCTGGTTCGGGAAGAGTTGTGCGCATAATGTTTGCCAGAGCTATTCTGCAATTTCTTACGAAACGCCGCATTTCGACGCTTCCTCTGCCACCCCTTCCGAAACAAGTTTCGATCCGAATTGAGAAAAAGAACAGCCTAGCTGTGTTTTAAGCTACTAAATGTGTGCACAGTCTAGTTCTCACTTCCTCTTTCAGCTGTATGGGCTTTTCAAAGCTCAGATTAACTCTTCTGAACCCTCCATTGATCCCTTGGAGAAGTAAAGTTTGTGCGCTCACTTTTTCTGTTGAATGAGGGTGGGCTGATAAGAGGGAGTGACAGGTGACAAGACATGGGGGGTGTCCATGGCACTCACACAAAAAATTCAAATGTGTTCTTGGGCCTAAAAAGGTTGGTGACCCCTAACTAAGAGTTTTTGCATGCCAGAGCATTCAAGAGACCACATGAAAATGCCCACAACTCCCCCACAGTAGGTTTTGTGTATTGTGTGTACAACTGCATCAGAATGTAGAAGGAATAGGTTAACCCACAATCCTTTCTAGCAGCCTCCATTGTGGAGGAGGTAAAGTGTGAAAAGAACAAGCAAGCTGAACACAAGTCTGCAATGTAAAAGAAAAAATCAGGGCTGCAATTGTGGGCTTGTTGTTTATCTGTGACTAAGGTCCATGGACCATAGTAGGAATTGCTTCCAAGTAAACAACCCAAGACTCGAACTGGCTTAGACTCGATACAGTTAACAGGGTTCTGATGTAGATACAGACTATCAACACTTTGTTATTGCGTACAGCAATACAATGAATGTCTCCCCCATGAATTTTGTAAGTTAGAAACATAGAAAGCTGCTTTATATTGGTTAGACCTTTGGTCCATCTAATTCAGTGTTGTCTATGCTGACTGGAAGTGGCTCTCCGAGCTTTCAGGCATGAGTTTTCCACAGCCCTACCTGCAAATGCTAAGAGTTGAACCTTGGATCTTCTGCATGGAAAATGTGTTCTACCACCAAGTTATGGCAACAACCTAGAATAAAACATTCACACAAATAATTCAGTTAGTGATACATTGTATATCAAATGCTGTGTGTGTGTGCACACGTGCATGTGTGCATGCGTTTTCACCCTCCTTGCTTCCTTCAGAAGTTCCAGTGAGGCCGTTTTATGGGGGCAATTTCTCTGTGAGAGACTTAAGGCCCCTCTTGTAGCAAACTTTATTTACAAAATATACAGGAGGAGCAGCAGTAAAAGTCACCAAGCAACACCCATCCATCTTCTCAACATCCTTTACCAGCTACAAACCTCTTAGCAACCACTTCTAGTAACCTCAGCCTCAGATTTCTGTTTTCTCCTTTTTGCTTATATTCAAACACACACACACACCCAACAACAACAAAAAACCCTATATCTCTCAGTGTCTGCCTAGGCTGGTTGGGTATGATAAACTCCAGTGAACTAGGGTAGCCAATAGCATGGGAGTAGCCAGGATTTATTTTAGGAGGGGGGCACAGAACTGAGTTATATGTGATGCAATTGGTCGGTTAGTTAAGTATTTTTATTTATTTACTTGATTTAGGGGGCCTGGCTGCACGTATGGCCAATTGTCCTCAAAGCCATTAATCAGGAGACCCTCTTACCACCATCAGATGTCAGGTTGGAGAGAAGAAGAGGTCCTTTAGCATGATCAAGAAGAATGACTATATCTACACCACTAGGAACTAGAATTACTTTGAATCACAGCCCTTACAAAGTTTTTTAAAAAATCCAAAAACCCACCTGTGTTCCAAGCTAAGATGGTAGCTCTGTTGTGGTGGATTGACTCTGAAAGGCTGTCCACATAAGACTCTTGTGCTTCTTGTTCAGCACCTTAACATACAACTAGAATGTAGGTAGAAGTACTTTGGGGTGGGGAGCACCATGTTGACCAAATATATTCTCAAGGGACTGTATCCAATGTTGGTCAAATTCAGAGCAGACCCATTAAAATTTGTGATCAGGACTAACTTAGGTACAGTAATTTCAATGGGACTCATCTGAGTGGTGGTCTTTCCATTAAACATGCCACCAGCACTGCTATCATGATCCCTCTGATTTAATATATCTATTGAAGATGAAATAGCTGTAAAGTTATGGAGCTCCCTCCTACTGGAGCTACAGTTGGCCTGCCCAATACTGTAATGTTTTTCTAACACGTTTATTTACTCTGTCGTTTGAAGTTGAGGCACTAGTTTCGAGTCTCTGGGACTGTTCTATGCTGTCAGATTACTTTATTTTAATGCTATTTTTTTTTTGCTATTTTAATATTATCATTTTGTTTTATTGTATGGTTTTATATTATGTTGTATACTGCCCTTAAGATGAAGGGTTGTCTAGAAATAACAGCAACAATCAGTATAAAGCATCTCACATAATATTCCAGTTTGCATTTATTTCAGTCTAGCATTCCAGATTTGGTGTGGTTCACTATTATGATAATTCAGCATCTTGGATAATTTAAACAGTATTTACTCAAAATACTCGATCTTAGTTGCTTGTTAATATGTAGTTTCTAAGTGATATCAACCAGTTTGCCTAAAGCTTTACAGGAACTGTTGTCTTCAAGAATTTTCATATTATTTGCTTCACGAATAGAGATCTGCATCTTAATAATGTCTTACTGTTCTGCTTTTAAACATTCAAGGTGCCGACTAAGAGTTGTAAACTGTGAAGTAACTACTATGGAACAGCTTAAGTAAAGCACCGAAGGTGGATGAATTTGAAATACAGAGGGTGTATGTGGTGAGTGTTTCATATTTTAATTCCCTGCCTCCTGCA